TGGTTCAGGTTCAGGGTTGTCTGTGTCTGCGTCGGAAAGGGGTGGTCTTGGAGTCTCTGCTGACAGGCAAAGATGTCGATGATTCCTCTGATATACCCTTCCATCCTCTGCAGTTACTTGGTACGAGCGCACACCTGCTGGCCCCTCTACTGTTGCTTGGGTCCACTTTTGACCCTTCTTAGTGCCGGTAGGTTGAGTGCGAACTACGCATCTCCTTTTTCCAGTGGTTGGAGTGTTTTGGAGCCATTGTTGTAGTAGAAAGACTGTCTGTCTTTTCTAGCTTGCAGGAGCTGAGCTGTTTTACCTGCGTCGGCATCAGCCTGGTTTAGGAGACTGCCAGCTGTGGGTAGGAGGGTCTTTGTTCGATGACCAAAGAGTCTCTGTGCTGGGGACGTGCCCAATCCCTCAGTAGGGGGGTTGCGGAAATCAAGCAATCCCAAGTAGGGATCAGTTTTAGCTTCTAGAGCTTTCAGCATGATAAGTTTGGCAGTTTTCACGCAGTTCTCTGCCTTACCATTAGACTGCGAGTAAGCAGGTGAGCTAGTGATATGATCAAATTCGTACAGCTCTGAAAACTTCATAAATTCCTGAGAGCTAAATTGAGGACCATTGTCACTCCTAAGTGTGTGTGGGATCCCATGTCTTGCCATCTGACACTTCAGCTTTTCGATCACTTCTCTGGAAGTTTGTGAACTTAGCATGTCAACTTCAAAGAAGTTGGAGTAATAGTCCGTGGTCACGAGATATTCTTTGCCTTGGAACTCGAACAGGTTGGCTGTGATGAACTGCCATGGTCTGGCTGGTACTGGATGTTGGATCATTGGTTCTTTCTGCTGTTTGTGCTGATATGTATTACAGACAGGACACTTAGATATGTATTCTTCAATCTCTGTGTACATTCCTGGCCAGTAGAAGGCTTCACGAGCTCGTCTCTGACATGCTTGAATTCCCAGGTGACTCGAGTGCAGTTTCCTCTTGAGCTCATCCCTCATTTCAAGCGGTATGACGACACGGTTTCCTTTAAAGTGCCTATGAAGTAAAAAATAATTGCTGCTTATTTGAAAGGCTTTTCAAAGTAAAGAAGAATGGTGTTTCCCTTTCTGGAATATCTTTTTTTGTTCTAGAGATATTTACGTTTTTGCATTATGCAAATGAGGAAAGTGATGA